GAGGATGTGTCCCACAAATCATGGCTTTGTCTTGTAGCTGCTATACTTCTAATTTTGCATGGGGAACTTTGAAACCCAATTTACAGTTTGGTGAATCATGTTACAATACTGCCAGCAGGTCTGTTGGTCAGCTGGAAAATATCCGTTTTCAGGTAGTTCTCAGCTTCTCTTCAGTTACTGTCAGTTAAGCATATTGGTTGGTTTCTGAAATTTATTTGATATCCATAAACTACCAAATCAAATTTACTCTGTGATGTTTATATCAATGCTTTTTTATTTTATTAAGAAAGTCCCAAGAATTATGGAGATGCACATTACTTTCTCCAGCTTGCATCAGGAGACTTTTCTTGTTACCTACTACAAGTTTTTGAAGTTTTCATTTGAAGAATACAGTACAAGGGGCTGAGTTAAATCCCAGCAGCCGTATGATCCTCTGTCTGCCTTTAAGCTAGCTGACTGCTGTTTCGTTGCAGAACAACCCCTTGTTAATTTGAAATGACTGTATGAGCTATCAGATATTGTGACAGAGAACTGAATGTTTTCCAGTTTCATAAAAACCAAAAGTTAGAGTAACTTTTGTCAAATATTATTTACATACAGTCATATGCCAGTTAGTGTGAATTTGCAAACAGTTCTACAAGTTAGATTCATATTTGGTTTATTTGTCAAAATAGATTAACATTTTATATTTTCTGCATAAACAATGTTGTTTTACACAGGCAAAATCCAGAATAGTCAGATATAGACTGACATCTACATCTGCCATCTACAGAAAAGAGCCAAAGACATTTTTTCTCCTTCAAGAAACTCACAGTGTAACTGTTGAAAAACAAGGAAAGATGGATGAAGAGATGAGTGATACTTTTGTTGGTGAAATTTTGGAAAAAATCTGGCACTAATTTCTCACATGCCTGGGATAGATGTAGCCCAAAGTGAAAAGACAGATTAAAATACATTGCCAGATATGATTTCAGGGCTAGCTGTGACTTAAAGGCTGTCCCGAAGTATATACAATCTAGATACAGGATAAGAGACAACGTGTCCACAAGGAAATAGAGGTAAAATTCAAAGATAACTTCTGTGACATACATGGTAGTTGCAGTCCTATGAAACGATTTTCCAAAATCCAGGCAAGAAGTTGATCTTTAATATGGCTTATAACAGGAACATGGAAAATCATACTATGAACTTGAATGTAATTGCCAAAACTTAATTATTTCCAGTGTATATAGTGATCGTTTTATATTTATTGTATTAATTAATAGTTTGCTTATATTACTAATTTTAAAAAGAAATTTTTTATAATGCTTAGGGGAGATATATATTCTGTTTGCTTAAAATGATAGTAGCTATCTACCTTTGCTTATTAATTAGATGCATGGTATCAAATGAAGTTGATGAAAAACATGGGGAATACCACTTCCAAAACAAATTAGGAATACAGTATTTGATAATAAATTTGTAGAATAAAAGACTTGGCAGGTAGGTGTGTGGAATCACAGACATGGATTGTGGGAACCCAATCTATGGAGAATACCATGGTTTGATGAATAAAAGGACTGATCAAGCAGAGTGTGCTTTACTAGGGAAATATCCCCATGGTAGGTGGATATTACAGATGACAGATGAGTGTTTTGGAAGAAATGGGAATAAATACCGGGCATCAGTCAAAAAAAAAAGGCTGGTACTTGTTATGTGGACACTGAGCTTGGAAGACATTACCCCTATGGTAGACTGGAACCTGTACCCTAAGAATAATAATGCTGTAGGTGATAATAACAGATATGCCAGTAGAAAGGCTTAGTAGTTTTCACTCATTCATCAGGTGGTTTATTCCCTCTCTAGAAGTTGTAGAACTAGAAAAGGCTACAGTAAACATGCCAGCAATTATGGAGCACCTAGAAAATAAAACATTGGATAGTGTGAAGTAGCTATGTGTATCCTTGCTTGTTGTATGATTCAATGTTGGGGATGTATCCATAAATGTGAAGGTCGAAGATAGTGATGATTAAAATACATACATCATAATTCTCAAAAGAAAAGGAGGTATTGATATATTGGTTTGTTTAGCAATAGGGATCAGTGTATTAGTTTAAGGACCAATATTTTAGTTTAGCAAAATAAATCAGTGAGTGCTAATTCTAAAACTCCATTTCAACTTTATTTGGTGTGTGGACAGCCTTATTTTCTCTTAATTCTGCTTCACAAGAAGCACAGGAGTCATAATAGACCACATATCTTTGCATTTCACCAGGTGCAAGGATGTTTTCTTTTGATTTTCATATATATTGTTTTGGAGATTGCTCGTTATGGCCTAACAAGCAAAGGAAACTTGCCAAATTAGAGCAAAACAGCTAAAGATCAGCCAGAAGTCTCAATGATGAAGCTGATGGCAAAAACTGGGATGAAGTGGTCATATGGCCACATACTACTGTGCAGACCCAGAGGGAAATTAGCATATATTAATAAGTTATGGGAAAAGGATGGACTATGTATACAAAACGTGCTGCGTATATCTGTCTTTTCTGTTTAAATGTAGAACCTGAACTCTGAGAACAAGTGCTTGTTTATCGTTGCCTGGTATGTGCTGTGAGAAGTAAAGGAATGCCGCTTTCTAACACTGCATGTTAGAGAGTTTTCTTCCCAGATTTAGGATGACAGTATGGTACTTCCTGTGTTCCAGTTTTAGGACATTGCTCCTTTTCCTATCTATGCACACTACTGAGGAAAGCCTGGCCTCATCTCTTTGCCTCCCATCTCCCTTTAGATATTTATAAACATTAATCAGATCTCCTCAGTCATCTTTTCCTCAGGCTGAAAAGACCCAGCTTACTCAGCTTTCCTCACGTGAGAAATGCTCCAGGCCCTTCATCATCTTTGTAATCTCAGCCCTCTGCTTGGAATGCCTGTCTTTTTTGAACATTGAGCCCTGCTGCTTTGTTGCTCTATGCTCCTGACTAGGAATCCTTTTGAGAGAGCTGTGTTTAATTACTTGCTGTAGAGAGCTATAAAAAGCTGTCCCTTTTTTCTTCTACCCTGAACTCCCTCTCCTGGCTGACAGTGGAAGATATGTGTGTGCTGAGTCAGTTTTTCTGTATGCTCAAGGATTAGGTGGATGATAAGGATGGTTTACAGCTGGCTCACAATAACTCTTGCATGGCAGTGCGGTGGCGTTTGCAGGGGAGCTGCAGCTGGCTCTGAACAAGGTGCCCAGTCTTCCCAGTCTTTTTTTTCCTGTCAATATCCTAGTGAAAATGGAAATTATTATTTATTTCATTGAACTGAACTGCCCTCCCACATGTCCTCACCTCATGAATGTCTTCCTCACTCCAGAGGCAATGCCAAATGCAAAGCAGTCATTTCTGAGCTGATTTTGCCAATGCAGATATGATAGTTTTTCTGCTGGGTTTCTGCACCTTGCTCGTAAAACATTTGAGCCTACCTCCTTGGCTGGGAAACCCTGCTACAAATAAGTTTTTTTTTTTTTTTTCTTTTTTTTTTTTTTTCTATTCTGAAAAGAATCTGAAAAAGAATCTGAAAAAGCATTCTTAATGAAAGACGGCATTAATATAATCCAGCTGATGGGTATGGACAGACAGTCGTAAGCAGTCTGACTTCTTTTCAGCTGAGCCTCACCTCCCAGGACATGTTAAGTGATACCACTTCTATCCATGAAGATGGCTTAAGCTTCCAGAGCTCTAGTGTTAGGGAGCCTTAGGGGCTATCACTGGGTATAACTTTGTATGGGCATTTCTCACAGCCTCTCAGCTAGGGATGTTTGCTTGAAGTCTGCATGGCATTGCTCTGCTAAATGAGCAAGGAGACTACTCCAGGAGTGCCATATTTGGTTGGCCATGGTAACAGAAGGGATAATCCATCTTCAAAGCTCTACTCATCAGCCCTGGTCAGACAGAATGCATGTCTCCTAATGTCGAGTACATGTCTCCTGATAGGACAGAATTAATGGGTGGGTTATGGCTAAATCCTGGGAAGCGTTCCCAGCAGGGAAAGCATTGTGGTTATCCTAATGCTTTTATAGCTCTTGCAGCGTACACAGTAATGCTCAAATTCCTCTTAATACCAGTCTATGGGCACTCAGTGGCAACTTGGAGCAATTTTTTTTTTGAATTCTCCCCTTTGCATTCACCAACACACAATAACAAAAGGCAGCTGAAGGCTACCTTGCATTTCTAATCAGGTAACTAATGACTGCATCACACAGTAGCAATCGAGCGCACTGCAGATTGCTTACTCTAAATGGCTTCACAGTTCCATTTTGTTCAGGATCATCTTTTTTTTAGTGTGTGTGTATAATCTAACCTAGTCATCACTTAAGGTATATGAAACTCTAAAGCGTACTTGAGTATTAACATATCCATTCTCAGAAATGCCTTTGAGGGGTGCTTTTTCAGATAAATTTCCTGTACAGCTGCCTCTACAATTTGTGGCTCTCTGAAGTGTATTAAGAGAATTTATTCTTCTGTTCCACAGATTCAGGAACTTAATGTTAGTTCCTCACAGGACATGAGAAATGAGGGATGTGGAAGAGGATTCCAATCAGTAAATAGATTCAGATGTCTGAGCTGATATTTGGGCACCTGTAGATCTCTAAATCCAGATCTCTTAAAAAATCCAGCTCACTTGCCACCTGTACTCCTCACAGCTTTTCTCCTTGATGAGTTTTTCAACTTTGCTATATCTAAAGCTTTTTTCCACAACCATATGTGGCATGCTTTTCCTGTTGTTGCCAGAGAGCTTGATGTCCAGTCCAGAGCTGATTTGCAGGAAGGGGTTTGTCTGGAGCATCTCCTGGGGACATGACCAGGCAGGTCACCTGCAGGGGAGACCCATTCCTTCCATGTGGCTGTCAGAGGGTGTATGGAACTATTAGATGAATGACTGAGTAACTGGTGAGTGGATGTAACCAGCCCTGAGAACACAAGTGGAAGCAATTCACCTGTGAGACTGAAGGGGATAGATACTGGCTCCACCCCTCCCTAACCTCATTTAAGGTCTGGTAGCCACAAAAGAAGCATCTGTGCTTAGTGATTGCCTCTTTTGGAGTGTTTGGTGAGCCCTCATCTTTGGAAAGGGGTAAGTGACTCCTTCTTTATTACTGGATTGTGACTGCTGCCTTTCTTGGGTGTATCCTTACAGAGGGTTATGTTCCCCGCACTACTCTCTCGCTGTTCGCGTTTTCAAGGCACTGCTGGGTGAAGAGGTGGATAGTCAGGGTAAGATGCTGCTGTGTGCCTATGCTTTCCCCTCTGCAGGAAGCTGTTTTGTGCAAAAGGCAGTAGGGCTTTGTGACCTGGATAGGAAGAGCAAGATGCTCCACTGAGGTGTCTCTTACCAGCAGGCCTTTCTGGCAGGGGTCCTGGTCTGAGGATGTTTATGCGCTTTCTATGATGGGATGGAAAATAGAAAAAAGCTGTGACTGTTCTCAACTTGTACATATGGTCTTTCAGAAGACTTTCTGTACTCACTTAAAAGCCAGGCAGTGTTTTTCGTGAATAGCATTTACTGTTTTTCCCTTCCCACTCTATTTCAGAAAATACCTGTTTTAATGTGCATTGCTGCTAGATAAGTACCACTAATTGCTACAGGTCACGGTGTTTCAAAAATAAATCAATACAAAAAGAAACATAGAGGAGCCTTGACAACAAAGCCCGTTCTTCGCTAAAATCAACTGAAAAAGTAATTACTTCTTGTCTAGGAATGCTGTTTTTGTTGTTGGTTTTTGTTTGTTTACTCTTTGCTTTTATTTTTCCTTGCTCACCGTAGTAAGGAAGGAGGGGATTACTGAGACAGGATGAGCAGATTGCATTTTCTCCTTGCTCAGCTCTGGAGCCCTCCAGATGTGGGTGGGATTGATACAACGTGGGTGCATGATAAACATCTCTGCTGTGAGAACAGTGGGAGAGCTGGTGTTGGTATTCGTGAGAATGGCATGAAAAATGGGAAAGAAGAAGAGGAGGAGAAAAATGAATTTTTTGTTATCAGAGAACTTCTGTTCTCCAATCCCTATCGTCTCCTGGTAGGACAGTTACTGAATGGCAACATTTGTCTTCCTATCAATCTGCGTTTATTTCTGCATAAAACATGATGAAGAAATATTCCGGATCATATTTTCTCTTCAAACACTCTACATAATTTACTACAGCTTTTAAAGACTTTCAAGTTCCTTGATTTACAAAATCGTAGCTTGAATGTCATTGGAAGTATATCAAGGAAGCTCTCAGAATAAAAGTACTCTAGAATGCTAGCTCGTATTTTAATTTGGACAGGAATTGTTATTTATACCAAATCTAATTTGGAAAAGACAACTAGAACAGAATATATGTAGCCTTTACAGTCATCTATATACAAGATAGAGAATCTGATCAAAATGCACTTGTGTACCACAAAGCAGAGTGAGAAAAGCCACCCAGTCTTTACATTTTAACAGCATCCATAACAAAAACACATGACCTGTAGTTTACTGCCTGAACATTTGCATCTGAAATACTTGGCTGAGGCTGTTGCTGGCTCCAACACAACAGCTGTAACCAAGTATTAGAAACAGGCTAGACAGCTCACAGTGCTGCAGTAGAGGAGAACAGCCCTCCTAGGTAGCCGTATCTCATGTCTTTCAAGAGAAGGAAATGGACAAAATATTACCGTTTCTCCTCTTTGGGTGCAATTCCACTCTTAGTACCAAGAAGTGAGCAAAGCTGGCTGAGCTTCTACTGGCAAACCCCAATTGAGCTTGAGGCCTGCCTCCTGCAGGCACACTTAGACTCTCCTCTGGCAGCGCTGACCTTTATCTGCAGGAAACCTGTGCCTGGATGCTGGCCAGGAGATTCTTCATTTCAACTAAAATGAAAACCTTTCAAAATGGAAAGTGCCACTGCTGTGTTTGTGCCATTATAGGTTAAAGAAAAAAAAATTACGAACCTTATTTCTCAAGACTTAAGAGTTAGACCAACCTTATAGAATCAGTTTATACTTGCTAAGCATCATATATAGAAGATCCAATAATTTATTAAACACAAAACTGAGCTGAACAAATAAATATCCAGTGAACCCAAACTTCTCCTGTTTACAAGTTGTTTACAAACAGATTTCAAACCTGAATTTCAAACCCTCTCTACTTGAAATCAATTTCCAAGTAATTTGTATGAATAATACTATTATTTTTTTTCCTTGGTGTGTGCACACATGTATATACATCTAGCTTGTTATTACTATAACATTTTTGAGAATATAACATAAGAGTTCAGAAGTTCTGATGGGTCTGTGCATCAGAATACAGCTTCACGTCTGGAGAAAAATGCAGCTTTTGTGGAGATTTATGTGAATGATCAATTAAAGACCTTTCAGAAAGTGTCAGTGAATGTTGCTGTCAGTATCCAGTCAGAGATTCTATGAAATGGTTACAGAACACAGTCTTATTTTAAGTGGATTTAAAAGGAAAAAAGTCATAATGAATATTTTCCTGGTTCCTCTAGTACAGATCTTGCATACTGTCTGCTGGCAGTGAGAACAAATTGTAAATCTTTTTGAAGTTTTACATTACTGTGAATCTTGAGCATCATGAGTTGTATCCCCTTATAGCAAAGGAACTGAATTAAGGTAATGCTTTACAAAATTCTTTGTTTTCTAATGTCTTTTTCACTTGCTATGGCATGTGGATGGTGTTTGCATGTTTTTCTCTTGGGTCTGGAAGATCAGAATTCTGTGATGAGTGCTGAGATTTCCATGTAATTGGATAATTCCAGAAGTGCAGTTTAAAGCCTGTACATAGTCTCACGCTGGAAATAAAATTACAAGAGCTGGCAACATCAATCTGATGCAGGTGTTCAGGTTCTTGGGCAATGAGCTTGGCAGGAATATGCAGATAGGGCTTGACGTTCAGAGACGCCAAACACCTGCTGCTCCTGCTGATTTCTACATGGACTATTGGTGTTCCCTAGAATCTATCCCCTAGTGTTTCTCCTAAGCTAAGGGAGGTTGAAGGTATGGAAATATAAGAGAAATTAAAATATTAGCAGTCTCATCTGAATGTATAACGTTTGACTGGAGGAGGGAAAAGAAGAGCAAGTAGAAGTATGGTCTGAAGTATAACAAGCATAGGGAAACAGAGGTTAGAACTGATACAGAATGCTCTGCTAAAACAGTGTAAAAATGGTTTTGTATGTTTATCTTGCAAGCACAGAGGAAACGCTGAAATATGATGCAGAGCCATGCTTATGTTCCAGAGATCACAGCCACCCTATGACTGTGTCTTGATTCTGTGTAGAACTGAGGAAAACCTGGAGTTTGTCTTTTAGCTACTGTAGTGAACAGAGTGAGAGAATGTCCAAACAAACAACAACAAAAGAAATAAAAATACCGTCTCCCCAAATAATCCAATGAAAAAAAGGAAATCAACTGCTGAGGAAGAATAAAGGAAGTTTTAAAAGTAGGAATTACAAAATTGCAGGGGCTGGAAGGGACTATAGATATCACTGAGTCCAGCCTGCCTGCAAGGCACACCCCCTACAGCAGGCTGCACAGGTAGCTGCACAGGAAGATAAGACAAAACTGTGTTCTAGGTATATGCAAAGTCTGTAAAAGCTGGATACCATAAAAAATATGGTTGAATGTTCTGTTGACAAATCAGCTATGGGTGATCTGCGCACTCCAGCTGTAAAGCTTTATAAATAATGAAGCCTTCAGTGTGTTTGTTAGAAGTCTCTAAGGATGCTGCAGACCTATCAGCTGTCAAAACAGCATTCCCCAGCTTGTGTGCAGCTTAAACAAACACACTTCCACCTGCCAAATTCAATTGCACAGAGGAACCACCAGCTGACCAGGATGAAAAGAAAGGAGGAAGCAGACCTGCAAAAACAAGTAAGCTAGATACAGATTCACATGGTGTGGAAGTGGGTAATGTAGCTTAATAGAAGGCTTAAAAAAATGACCTGTGTTAGTGTGTCATCCCAGTTTATAAGAGGGAGAGGAGTTCTTTGATACATGTATAACTGATATGAGATTAAGAAACAATGGTTCAAATGTTGGTCCAGCCAGTCTATTACAAATCTTAACCAGGGAGATGGGGAAGGGGAGGACAGTGACTACTACGGATTAGGGTATTGGGGAAGGGAAAGTGCGTGATAGGAAAGAAGCAAGTACTGTGTAAAGCAGGGATATTCACCACCAGGATCAGCAGTGTCCCATTGCATGCCATTCTGATGGTCTGAGGCAAAAGCGCGGGGGAGAGCAGCAGCAGCAGCATGGCCGGCCTTGGACAGTGAGTAGGTACAGCAACAGGGCAAGTCCAGGAGGATGCGGTAGGACTCGGGTAGCAGGCCCAGGAGAGTCTGTCAGCATGCATCCATCTTGTTGTGAGGAATTTGTTGCCAAAAACCTAATCTAATCTCATGGTTGTTGGTCCCTTTTTTTATCCTCCTTCTTGTGCCAACATGGCATTCCTGGGCGCTTGGTAAGAGTCATGTGCAGTACCTCCTGAGATGGCTGTGTCCCTCAAGATAAGCCCATACAAAAGACTGCTTCCTGGCAATTAAGCCGTGGCTTCTCTCTCTCTGGTTGCCCCAGGCCTGCAAATAATCCTACAAAAGATTTTGCCAACTTTGACCAGGGCTTCCCTGGGCTTCTCCATCTGTGTCCCTCAGACAAAGGGTGTCTTAACCCTTGCCCAGGACTTGTCCATCAGCGTTCCTCAGCAAGCTTTGAGACAATGGTGCAAAAGTAGGTAGAATCTCTCCAGTGTGTTTATTTGTACTGATGTTGTCTCCTATGAGGCTTAAATGCTGGATTTGTGGTGGGGGCGTGATTTGACAAGACTTGGCCTGGGAATGTTTCATATAGGGTCCTTTTGTTTGCACTGTGTGATTATACCTGAATTTTAAGAGTGATGCTAAAACACAAACAATATTTTAGATAAATGTGATTTTGGCAGGGATCTTAAGAACTACTAAACATGTGTCCGGTTTGAGGTATTCGTGCTTTCTTAGACCTACTGAAGGTGAGAGTTTTCAACACAGGCTGCTTGCAGAGTAGAGATTGCTTGGTCTTTGAAGTCAAGGATCAGAGCTGAGGAGCCTGGAGAG